CGATCAATCCCTTCGCCTTGCCCCTTCCTTCTTTCCCCATCTTCAGGTCACGCCTGAAAACCTTCCTCTTCGACCATGCCCAGTCACCTCCCCCTTAATTCCATCTCCCCCAGCTCGGTGTCATGCTCCACCCCTATCAAGCGCTCTGGGATGCTATCCTGCGTGAGGGGCACTATGTAAATGCAAGTTGTTGCTGTCTGAGGTTGGAGCATAGTAATGGGTTTCCACGTGTGTGTGTGTGTGTGTGTGTGTGCACGCGTGCGTGTCAGACACCCATACAAAACACCAAATTACCCTTATCCTTCCAATCGTTGTCTTGTACTGTTGTTTTTTTTTGAGGGGGTGGGGGGAGGTGAGGGTGGGGAAGAAAGAGATTAAATCATATCTTAAAACATTTAATATGTCTAAATTCACAACCAGATAAAATAAAATCGCTCGCTCGCTTCACGGCTGTTGGCGGGGACATCACTGTGCGCAAAATGGGGACTGCCCACGAAATGCACAGTCACTACACTTCACGGTGTAAAGCTATTCAGAGTGATGAGTTAGCTTTCTCAAAGCAGAACTGGTCCCAGGGTAACATGCCTGGCAATGGAAAGTGGGAATCGAGCCAGTCTTCCATGACAGTCTCTAATTCGGTTCAGCTGGACCTGGAAGGGCAGACCAGTCACTGGGGACAGGGAATCCTCCCACTCAGCTCCTGTTAACCCTGCAAGCCAAAGCCCTAACTAACAGGTGGTAGGGTGGTCGTAGTAGTGACTCGTTAAGGGTCGAGTTATCAGGAGTCGATTGATCAGAACAATGTCTTGTGATGTTATTTTTAGCGTTATTATCTTTTCTCTCACTTGCTTTCTCGAGATCCTTTTGACTTTGATGAAGATCTGAAAACGCAAACCAGGGATTATGGTGTCCTGTAGTTCAGTGGTTAGAGCACTCGCCTCGCAAGCGAGAGGACCTGGGTTTGATGCCCGCGCGGGTCAGGGCGAAATTGGGGAAGTTTCCTGACTCAACACCACACACACACGCCTCTGTTCACCTAGCAGTAAGTAGGAACCCGGTTGTTAAGTCGATTGGCAGATCGCTTTTCCAGGGGTAATAAACCTTTTGAAAAAATAATAATTTGGTCATTTCATTCACGACTGTTTGTGGGACGCTGTTGCGCGCAATTGGCTGATGCGTTTCGCCCACAAAATGTAGTCGATTCACTTTACTGTGTATTTGGTGAAGCGCTTTGATACGTCTCGAAGATGTGATAAGGCGCTATATCAAATGCAAGAATTATTATTCTTATTATTATGGGGAGGTAGCGTTATGTATTTATCTCTCTTCTGTTTTTCTCCTATTAATTGCCATGTCATTTTTCCGATCCGCCAATCAACTCTGCTGGGAACTGATTCAAATTCACCTGCCCGCGCACACACACGTACACACGATGCACCACAGTCACACCGCGCAGGCACACAAACACAGACGCCGTGCGCGCACACACACACTGGGCATGCCTACGCACGCAGTGATTTACCTTTCTCCAAAACATCTTTTGCTTCCTCTGTGCAGGACCCCAGACGCAAATCGAGGTGTTATTTTTCAATGCAATTCAATAAATCATCATTGAGTCCTGTAGCTCAGTGGTTAGAGCACTCGCCTCACAAGCGGGAGGACCAGGGGTACAATTCCCGGGCTGGTCAGGGCGAAACATTGGGCAAGTTTCCTTACTCTACATGCACGCCTGTTTACCTAGCAGCAAGTAGGAACCCAGTTGTTAGTCGATTGGCGGATCGCTTTTCCGGAGATAATAATCCCTCCCCAAAAATAAAATAAATAATAATTTGGTTACTCAATCCACGACTGTTTGTGCCACTGCTGTGCCCAATTGGTTGTCACGTTTCGCTCACAAAATATATAGCTAATTGACATTACAGTGTATTCTGTGAAGCGCTTCGAGACGTCTCGAAGACGTGATAAGCAGCTATAACAAATGCAAGGATTATTATTAATATCATCATTAATGTTATTGTTATCACGACGATTACAAACCTGATCAATAAAGTTGCCTCACCTGTGTTCTTCAAAGATAATTTCAAAGCAACGATTTCTAGAGCCGAAAAAACATAGACATAAACATAGACACCTCAGACACCCGGCTGAACACAATGACGGGTTTCTTTGTGTATGTGCGTGTGTCAGACTCTCAGCTAATCATGGTGACAGATCTGTGTGTGTGCGCGCGCGTGTTTGTGCGTGTGTCAGACACCCGCAAACAGAAATGAAGCGAACGGGCGATTTTATCTGGGGGATTGTCACCAGGACATCGGGAGAGAGAGAGACAAACTCCCCTCTCTTTTCCCGACAGCACAGTGGGAGATCTTTAAGGTCTGCCCTGAACAGAGCACAGACAGGGAGGGAGGGAGGGTGTGAGTGACGTTTAAAGTTTCATCTGAAGGACATATAAATTATCTTACCATGCTCCTTGTCCAGGTCAATCTGAACTGTAAAAAAATAATGTGGTAACTCCATCCCCGACTGTTTGTGGGACACTGCTGTGCGCAATTGGCTGCCGTGTTTCGCCCCCAAAATACAGATTCAATTCGCATTACTATATATTTTGTGAAGCGCTTTGAGACATCTCAAAGACACGATAAGCCGTTATATCAAATGCAAGGATTATTTTACTTTATAATGAACAAAAATACACATCTTATTTAATTTCTCTTTGCCTATCTGCCTGCATATCCGTCTGTCTCTATCTGTCTGCCTCTTTGTTTCTCTCTGTCTGTCTGTATTCCTCTCTATCTCTGTCTGTTTTTCTGTCTTTGTCTCTCTCTGTATCTCTGTCTCTGCCTGTTTTTCTCTGCCTTTGTCTCTCTCTCCGTCTCTGTCTCTCTCTGCCCCAACTTTTGAAAATGTACCTTTTGTTTTGCATTGCCTGCTGAGTTCTGGAAATAAAATCATAAAATAATAATCCTTGTGTTCGAGATTAATGTACTGAATGGAATCAAAGGAAAAGTATTCATCAATTACAAAGCTATGCCACAAGCACGGATGTGAAGTCCTGTAGCTTAATGGTTAGAGCACTCGCCTCGCAAGGGAGAGGACCTGGGTTTGATACCCGGGTGTATCAGGGCAAAGTTTCCTTACTCCACACACACACATGCGCCTGTTTCTCTAGCATCAAGTGTTAGTCGATTGGCGGATCGTTTTTTGGGGGGTAATAATCTCTTCAAATAAATTAAAATAATTATAATTTGGTCACTCAACCCACGAATGATTGTGGGATGTTGCTGTGCGCAATTAGCTGTCGTATTTCGCCGACAAAATAGTCAATTCACTTTACAATATATTCTGTGAAGCACTTAGAGACGTTTCAAAGATGTGTTAAGGTGCTATATCAAATGCAAGGATTATTATTATGTTCACACTTTGCTTACCTATGTTTTTTGCTTCCAAGGTATCTTCTTTTGTTAGGGAATAAAACAATATATATTATTAAACTATTAACAAATAATAATAATAATCCTGGCATTCGGGACCGCACCTTATATCGGGAGGTAGGGAGGACATTAAAGCGCTTTGCTACCGTGAAGTGTAGTGACTGTGCATTTTGTGGGCGGCCTCCGTTGTGCACAAAGTGAGCGAACGATTTTATCTGGGAGATTGTCGGCCAGGACACCGGGAGAGAGAGAAAGAGAAAATCATTGATATTGGTGATGTTGATGATGATAATAATAAAAATCCTAATTCGATATGGCGCCTTATCAAGTCTTTGAGACTTCTCAAAGCGCTTCACTGGATATGAGGTGTAAAGTGTATCGACTGTATATTTTGTGGCTGAAACGCAGCAGCCAATTGTGAACCGCAGTGTCCCACAAACAGTCGTAGATTGAGCGACCAATTTATTATTTTTTCATTATTTTTTAAGGGATTATTACCTCGGAAAAGCGACCCGCCAAACGCCAAAGGAGTGGGTTCCTACTTACTACTAAGTAAACAGAGGCGAGTGAGTGTGTGTGGAGTAAGGAAACTTGCCCAACTTTTCGCCCTGACCCGCCCGGGAATCAAACCCAGGTCCTCCTGCTTGCAAGGCAAACTCTCTAACGACTGAGCTACGGGACTCTATATGACGTTGGTGTTGATGATATAATGTTGATTATAACCTGTGGATTTTAATTCCTTCTTCAAATTATCCAGCTCTGGAAAAATGACAATCAGAAGCGATTTGTAGGTTAAGGGAACCACATTGATTTACCGTAGAGATTTACGTCTCAGAATGGATTCGCTGCATGTATGTGAGAACAATTTTCCTGATCTCCTCCCTGAAACTCACTGCTTGTCAGCTTCCCCAACTCTTCCCTCCACAAGCTGCTGATCATCCAGAACTCTGCAGCCCGTGTCCACTCCCGCACCAGGCTCCGTGAACCCATCACCCCCATCCTTGCCTAACTCCACTGGCTCCCCAGAGGATACAGTTCAAAATCCTGGTCCTCATCTTCAAAGCCCTCCATGGCCTCGCTCCTCCCACCAACCTGTCTGCTCCCTCCGCTCAGGAGGCTTCAGCCTGCTTCATGTACCCCACCTTGCCCCGTCTGCCCCACCATCGATGGTCGGGTCTTCAGCCTCTCTGCCCCCACCCTCTGGAACACCATCCCACAATCCCTTTGCCTCGCCCTCGCCCTCCCTTGCCTCCTTCAAGGCACGTCTCAACACTCCTCTGGGACCAACCGTGGATTCGGTCACCCTCCTGCTTTGTCCTACTGTAAAAACAACTAAATTTGTATAGCGTCTTTCACGTCGGGAGGACGTCCCAAGGCGCTGGACAGTCAAAAAGTCCCAGTTCCTCCAATCTCTTTGATAATCCACCCTCTCTCATACATTCTTTCTCTCCCCAGCTGGGCGTCAGTCGTCGATCGCTCCGAGACGCTGTATAAATGCTGTGTAAACGTGAAAGGCGGTTATTGTGTTGCTGCTTTGATTGGCATAATAATAATCCTTGCATTTGATATAGTGCCTCATTACGTCTTTGAGATGTTTCAAACAGTTTCACAGGATACACCGTAAAATTAACTGACTATTTTGTGGGTGAAACGCAGCAGCCAATTGCGCACGGCAGTGTCCCACTAACAGTCGGGGATTGAAGTGACCAATTTATTATTATTATTTTTTTGGAAGGAATTATTATCTGCAGAAAAGTGATCTGCCAATTGACTGACAAGAAGGTTCCTATTTACTGCTAGGTAAACAGAGCTGTATGCGTGTGTGGAGTAAGGAAACTTGCCCAATATTTCGCCCTTACCCACACGAGAATCAAACTCAGGTCCTCTCGCTTGCGAGGCGAATGGTCTAACCACTGAGCTACAGAACGCCACAATTGGCATTCTTACTGCCCTCTGCATTTTTATACGTGCAAATTCTTACCCACTTCGTAAATGTACTGTCCATCACCTGGGTAATGAATTTATAAAATAAACATGAATGATATTTGTAATTGGCTGCCGTGTTTCGCCCACAAAATACAGTCAATTCACTTTACAATATATCCTGTGAAGAGCTTTGAGACGTCTCAAGGATCATTATTATTGCTGTATTATTCTGTTTGGCACAGCTTCTGATCACCTCTCAAATTTTGCTCCAAAAAGTCTCGATAACCAGGAGGGGGCGGGGATAAGCTGCCTCAGGAATCCTTATCCCCCCACACCCTGATGTTGGAGTCCTGTAGCTCAGTGCTTAGAGCACTTGCCTCGCAAGCGAGAGGACCTGGATTTGATTCCAGGGCGGGTCAGGGCAAAATGTTGGGCAAGTTTCCTTACTCCACACACAAGCCTCTGTTCACCGAGCAGTAAGTAGGAACCCGGTTGTTAGTCGATTGGAGGATCGCTTTTCCAGGGATAATAATACCTTCCAAAATGTTTTAAAATATAATCGGGTCATTCAATCAACAATTGTTTGTGGGACACTGCTGTGCGCAATTGGCTGCCACGGTTCGCCCACAAAATATACAGTCAATTCACTTTACAGTGTATTCTGCGAAGCGCTTTGAGCCATCTCAGAAACGTGATAAGGCACTGTAGCAGATGCAAGGATTATTATTATTATTATTAGAAGGGAGCGATGAGATTGATTCTCGGTGTTAGGAAGCAGCAGTGAGCTGTGAGCAGCCCTGAAACCAACGACAAAAACGACTTGCATTTATATAGCTCCCTTCACGTGGAATAGCATCCCGGAGCACTTAACAGTGGTAGATTCTGACCCTGAGCCAGGGGGAGAGGGAGGCTCGTGACTGAGCCAACAATTTCAGTTCTGCTTCACTCACGTGCATTGCTAATCTGATCCATAGCTTTCTTAAATTCTACAGAGAGAAGACACACATCATCAAAATAATAATACTCCTTGCGTTTGATATGGCGCATCATCATGTCTTCGAGACATCTCAAAAAGCTTCACAGGTTATACTGCAAAGTGTGGGCGAACCGCAGCAGCCAATTGAGCACAGTGGTGTTCCACAAACAGTCGTGGATTGAGTGACCAAATCTTTTTTTATTTTACAGTTTTTTTGAAAGGGATTAACACCCCGGAAAAGTGATCCGCCAATCGACTGACAACCGGGTTCCTACTTACTGCTGGGTACACAGAGGTGTGTGTGTGTGCGCGTGTTTAGAGTAAGGGAACTCGCCCAACACTTCGCCCTGAACCGCCGGGCAATCGAATTCAGATCCTCTCTCTTGTGAGGCGAGTACTCTGACCACTGAGCTGCTGGACTCGGTAATAATAATCGACATGGCGCCTTATCACGTCGGAAAAGAGGATAATAATAATAATAATAATAATCCTTGCATTTGATATAGCGCTTTTCACGTCGGGAGGACGTCCCAAAGCGCTTCACAGAAGACACTGTAAAGTGAATTGACTGCATATTTGTGGGCGAACGCGGCAGCCAATTGCGCACAGCAATGTCCCACAAACAGTCGTAGATTGAAAATGACCAATTTATTATTGTTTTTGGTTTTGGAGGGATTATTATTAGGCGTGTGGAGTAAGGAAACTTGCCCAAGGTTTCGCCCTGCCTGGAATTGAACTCGGGTCTCTTGCTTGCAAAGCGAGTGCTCTAACCACTGAGCTACAGGACTCCACGACTCAATTACAAGATGTAATTGTACTTTTGTTTTACAGACCCCCCACACCATTCTTCTCATGGTATTTGAAGATGTTCTTCAAATTTTCCAGGTCTTCAATCTGGGCATCAAATTCTTGCAGAAAAGTAGATATGAACATTTCTGAGGTCACACTCTGCAGAGTCTCCTGAAGAAGTGGAATCTTCACTGACAGTACTGCAAGCAGCACAATAGCGATTAGGGTCCATTGGGAGGGTCGGTGAAGGATATTTGTGTTTGTTAGCCTGAATGTTTTTACAAGTCTGTTTAGCTCAGGAGAAATGTCACACATTGTAAGTCGAAGAGGCCCCAATATGTCAGGTAAAGCTTTTTTAAGTTTTTCCACAACAATTCGTCTTCTGATTTGGTGCTGGGCATTGGAATCCACCAATGGAAGAACCGGGTTTTCTTTTCTGTGTTTATAATTTATGGATTCCAAATGTTCTTCAGTATTGCCATCAATGTCTTCAGATAAAACATACCGCCCCTTATAAAATTCTCTGATTTTCAGGTGAAGGCATTCAAATTCCGGCTTCAGTCGTTCCATATCTGGGAGTGGTCCAACATTAGTCGCTGACCCTTGGGATGGAGGGCATTGTCTCAAACTATTATCATTTCTGGAATTCTGATTAGGATCTCCAATTTCAATTGCCTCTAGATTGTCCAAGTCATCTTCATCAAGTTCTTGCTTACTCACACAAGTCACATGCCTCAAAGCGCCCCGCGGAATTTTAATTGAATGGAAGGACTTTTTTTTAAAAGTCTTATCAAATTTTTTGGGGGGGTTTGTACTCACCTATCTCTGTCTTCAATTGTATGTCTTCTATTTATTAGAAAACAATATAGTTTTACCAAAATATCAACATTAATATCATCATCAACATCAACATGGGAGTCCTGTAGCTCAGTGGTTAGAGCACTCGCCTTTGCAAGCGAGAGGACCTGGGTTCGATTCCCGGGCGGGTCAGGGTAAAACAATGGGTAAGTTTCCTTACTCCACACACGCCTCTGTTCACCTAGCAGTAAGTAGGGTTACTGATTGTTAGTCGATTGGCGGATCGCTTTTGCGGGGGTAATAAACCTTTAGAAAAAAATAATTTGATCACTCAATCCACGACTGTTTGCAGTACACTGCTGTGTGCAGTTGGCTGTCGCGTTTTGACCACAAATTATAGTCACTGCACTTTACAGTATATTCTGTGAAGCGCTTTGAGATATCACAAAGATGCGATAAGGCGCTATATTAAATGCAAGGATTATTATCATCATCATCATCATCATCATCATCAACATCGCTCTCACCAGAAACCTTTAAAGCTTCTCTGGCAATTCTAATCTCTGAAAAAGAAGACCAAGGTAAATTATGAGATAATAATAATAATCCTTGCATTTGATAAAGCGCCTTATCACATCTTAGAGACGCCTCAGAGCGCTTCATAGAACAAGCTATAAAATATATGAATTGACTGTATATTTTGTGGGCGGGTGAAACACATCAGCCAATTGTGCACAGCAGTCCCACTAATAGTCGTGGATTGAGTGACCAATTTATTATTTTGCTAAAAAAAATTCTAAGCAATCTGCCAATTAACTAACAAGCGGGTTCCTACTTACTACTAGGTAAGCAGAGGCGTGTGTGTGTCCGTGTGTGTGGAGTAAGGAAACATGCCCAACATTTCGCCCTGACCCCCCCACCAGGAATCGAACACAGGTCCTCTCGGTTGTGAGGCGAGTGACCTAACCACTGAACTACAGGACTCCATGAGATGTACTGACATGCACACAGCGAACTGCTTTCATTGCAAAATTTACCTATGTCTTTCTTCCACAATCTTTCATCTGGGGATGGAAATCAAAATGCAATTTTGTCTTATTTCAGGGATACCCTTAAGCGGAAAAATTAAAGGCAGAATGACTTCAAATGCAATTAAAATGAAAGTAGGAATAAAATAAAGATTTATAATAATATATACTAATAATAATCCTTGCATTTGATACAGCGCCTTATCAGGTCTTCGGGAAGTCTCAAAGCGCTTCACAGGACACACTGTAAAGTGAATTGACTGTATGTTTTGTGGGCGAAAGATTAGATTGAAATATAAATCAAAATTAAATTCAAATAAGATTGAAAATGAAGTACAAATACCTCAAAAAATAAAAATACAATGAAATAAAATTTAAAGTATATAAAAAAATAAGACTTACCATCACTTAAACACTTTCCTTTCAGTTCTGTAAGTGACAGTAACATCAATATTATATTAATAACAGACCCCCGTGTTCAAAATGGTGCCTTATCACGTCTGGAGGGAGGGAGGAAGACGTCTTAAGCGCTTCGCGGGATTTTCACCGTGAAGTGTAGTGATTGTGCGTGTGTGAGAGAGAGAGAGAGAGAGAGAGAGGGGCTCCAACCCACAACCTTCTGACTCGGAGGCGAGAGAACAAGCAACTGAGCCAATATTAATCTCTCACACACACATACAGAGAATTCAGACACTAACCTTGCTCAGTAAACATTAATTTTTCACCTATTTTGCAAAACAAAATGTATTTTTTGAAAGAATCCTTGAAAAAAACACAGCGCTTTTAACATTCGAAACGTCTGTAATATTGTTCATCGACATAAAGAGACATTAATAATAATATATATTTTTTTAAAAATTATAATATTAACAGTCACTAACTTAATTCTCGCAATTCTTTTCTCATAGATTTTATTTCTGGAAATCAGAATTGATATACATATATTTTATTCAGAATTATAATCCTGGCTTTCAATAGAGGAATGAGGTGAGAGAGAAAGAGACAGAGAGAGAGAAAGAGGGGGTAGAATATAATATTAATAAATAATAAAATCCTTGAATTTGTGATAGTGCCTTATTCGAGACGTCTCAAAGCACTTCACAGAATATACCGTAAAGTGGAGTGACTGTATGTTTTGTAGGCCAAATGCATAATTATAAATATATATAGATATAAATAGAAATGTATGGCACCTTTGTCTTTCAAAAAAATCACGTGATCTATTCACGAAAACAAATGTGATGAGTTGAACAGTCCAAACACATCCCTTGTTTGGTAATAATAATAATAATAAAACAAGTTATAGCAACAATACTTAATAATAACACCAATTAACAAAAGCAACAATAAAATGAAAAACAACAATTCTAACAATAATATTATAATAGAAATAACAACAACTATAACAAAACAAAAATAGTAATAACAACATAATAATGATAATAATAATTATTATTATTACTGTAACATTGAATGTTACCTAATTTTTTCAATCTTGTTTTACAACTGTGGTGTGCTATATATCGAAATAGAGAATCAATATTTTAGACTTATATTAAATAATTGTATTATAATATTTATATTAAATGCTGAACACAATAATTACTTATACATAGTAACTTAACAGTAAACAATAAGCATCATCAACATCATCAACATAATAATAATAATAGTGATGATAAACCTTGCATTTGATATAGCGCCTTATCACATCTGCGAGACGTCTCAAAGCGCTTCACAGAACATACTGTCAAGTGAATTGACTGTATATTTTGTGGGTGAAATGAGGCAGCCAATTGCGCACAGCAGTGTCCCGCAAACAGTCGTGGGTTGAGTGACCAAATTATTTTTGTATTTATTTTGAAGGGATTATTACCCCAGGAAAGTAATCCGACAATCGACTAACAACTGGGTTCGTACGTACTGCTAAGTACACAGAGACATCAAGTTCGTACTTACTGCTGGGTGTGTGTGGAGTAAGGAAACTTGCCTAAAGTTTCGCCCTGACCCGCCTGGGAATAGGACCCAGGTCCTCTCATTTGCGAGTCAAGTGCTCTAACCACTAAGCTACAGGACTCCACATCATCATCAACATCAACATTTTATTGAAGACATTATTAAGGATTAATCTCCCTTTTTTTAAAAAAATCACACCTTCTTTCAAGTCTGCAGTTAGCCCCTCTGTTGGGTTAAGAAGGATATTGCTTTTTTTATAATAATAATAATCCTCGTATGTGAAACAGCGATAAAACAATCCGCCAATCGACTAACAAACGGGTTCCTACTTACCTCTAGGTAAACAAAGGCGTGTGTGTGCATGTGGAATAAGGAAACTTGCCCAAAGTTTTGCCTTGACCCGCCCAGGAATCGAACCCAGGTCCTCCAGCTTGCAAGGCAAGTGCTCTAACCACTTAGGCTTAAACATATACTTTACAATCTTACCTTGGTACTGCAGATTTTGTTTGCAACTGTTGAACTCTGGGAATGAGGGGGGGGGAAAGATTTGAGTCACGTGTAAAATAACACAATACATATTTACATTTAAATGGCACCTTAAATTATGAGGGCAGGTTGCATAAACTTGGTCTCTATTCCCTTGAGTTTAGAAGGTTGATCTGATTTAGAAGGGGTGATCTGATTGAGGTTTTTAAAAATAATAAAGGGATACAATAGGGTGGCTACAGAGAATATACACAAAATATGCAGTTTCGACCCCCAAATACACAGCTAATTCACTTTATGGTATATTCTGCAAAGCGCTTTGAGACGTCTCGAAGACGTGATAAGGCGCTATATCAAATGCAAGGATTATTATTATAAAGAGATTATCTCCTCTGGTGGGGGGGGGGGGGAATCCAGAACAAGGGTACTTAAAATCATCTTAAAATTAGAGCTAGGCCATTTAGGAGTGAAATCAGGAAGTAGTTTTATTACCCAAAGGCTAGTGGGAATCTGGAACTCCCTCCCTCCACTGTGGATTCACTTCTTCAAGACTGAGGTGGATAGATGTTTGCTTTGGTCATAGTATCAAAGGATATGGGGCAAAGGTGGGAAATTGGAGTTGAGGTACAGATCAGCCAAGATCTTGTAGATTGGTGGAAAAGGCTTGAAGGGCTATGGAAATTTGCACAAATGTTTGGATGGGCGTTTGCTCAACAGAGAGAAAAAAAGCACAACTGGTATAAAGGTGTGTCTTTGAAAGAAAAACTCACCAATTTCGTGATCCCATAACTCGCTTCCTGTGAAGATATTTGAAGGAAAGTAATCTTAACTGGGAGTCCTGTAGCTTAGTGGCTTGAGCACTCGCCTCGCAAGTGAGAGGACCTGGGTTTGTTTCCTGGGCAGGTCAGAGTTTAAACATTGGGCAAGTTTCCTTACTCCCCACACACACACGCATCCCAGTATACCTAGCAATAAGTGGGAACTCGATTGTTAGTCTATTGGTGGATCGTTTTTCCGGGGGTAATAATCCCTCAGAAAAAAAATGATAATTTAGTCACTCAATCTACGACTGTTCGTAGGACACTGTTCTGCGCAATTGGCTGCCGCATTTCACCCACAAAATATAGACACTACTTTACAGTATATTCTGTGAAGAGCTTTGAGATGTCTCGACAATGCGATAAGGCGCTATATATCAAACGCAAGGATTATTATATTATACTGCGCTTTTCACATCGGAAAGACGTACCAAGGCGCTGGATAGTCAGGAATTTGGACCGGAGCTGGGGATTGTGATCAGGAGGGCTGGAGGGCGCGGAGGGTGGTGGGGGTGTAGGAGGGTGGCCGAAAGCGCTGTTAGTCGAGAAGGAGGGTCTTGAGATGGGTCTTGAAGGAGGCAAGTGAGGGGGCGAGGCGAAGGGAATGTGGGATGGAGTTCCAGAGGGTGGGGGCAGAGAGGCTAAAGGCACGTCCGCCAATGGTGGGGCAGGCAAGGTGGGAGACATGAAGCAGATGGGATGGTGGGGGAGATGGGGGTCTAAAGGGTCTATATTACCTTTTGTTGCCAAATCCAGTTTTTTTTCTGTTGTTGGAGTTGAATTTCATACAGATTTAAATCTTAAGCGTAAACGACAGCAACAACAATAAAAATACATTTGTATAATGCCTTTCAACTTTAAAGATCACAAATGGCACTGTTGGGAAAAATGAAGAGAGCTTCTCTCTTTCTGAATCCTGGTCAACAATCCCTCAAATAAATTTGATCGCTCGCTCCACGACTGTTTGTGGGACACTGCTGTGTGCAATTGGCTGCCACGCATCGCCCACAAAATATACAGTCACTACACTTTACAGTGTAGTCTGTGAAGCGCTTTGAGATGTCTCAACTACGTGATAAGGCGTTGTGTCAAACCCAATGGGTATTATTAATATTGCTCACACCACTGATAGTCATAATAACCAGATATGAATGAATACTAATAACTAGAATAAATAATAATAACTAGAATCCACGACTGTTTGTGGGACACTGCTGTGTGGAAGTGGCTACTGTATTTTTCCCAAAAAATACACTGCACTTTATAGTGTGTCCTGTGAAGCGCTTTGAGAAGTCTCGATGACGTGATAAGTTGCAATATCGTCCCAGAGACTTAGGCTGTCCTCCCGAAGCAAAAGGTACTACACAAAGGTAATTTGTTGTTGTTGTGTATGAAATGCAAGGATTTGTTGTTGTTAATATTATTATTTTATTAAAAATGACCGAAAGCGAGATCAAAGACTCCATCAAAGTGGTCCCCAACTTAAGCACTTCGGGTTGCTACCCCGCATGAAGGGCGCTATATAAATGCAAGATGTTGTTGTTGTTTTTGTTGATTTTACTAACCTGACTCGAGAAGAGTTTTTTTGATTTCAAGTACCTCTATATTGAAAAACGCAAACAAATTTTTTTTTGCCAAAAATCACAGACGGCGATTCATTGATAATATAATAACAATTGCATTTGATAAGGCGCCTTATCACGGAAACAGAAGGTTAGAAAGAGGATAGATAGAGAGATGGAGAAAGATAGTCGGAGACAAAGAGAAAGAGAGTGTGAGAGTGAGACGAGGTGAAAGAGAGATATTGAGCGAGAGAGAGAGAGAGAGAGAGTGAAAAAGAGTTCAGAGAGACCGAGGGAGGTAGGGAGAGAGAGAGGGAGAGAGAGAGAGATGGAAAGGGAGTGAGAGTGTTTACCTCCCTCTGCAAAGGAACGTCCTGCACCTATTAAGCAAATAATAATAATAATAATCCCACAAACAGCTGTGAAGCCAGCGGATGATTTTATCTGGGGGTATTGTCGGCCAGGACACCGAGAGAGAGAAACTCCCTTCTCTTTTCCTGACAGCGCCGCAGGAGATCTTTAACGTTCGCCCTGAACAGGGCACAGACAGGGATGGAGGGAGGGAGGGAGGTTTAATGTCTCATTTGAAAGACAGAGTCTCCAACAACGAGGTTTCTCTCTTCTCTCTCTCTCTCCCTCGCCCCAGCACTGCATTGGAGCTTCATCTTAGACTGTATGAGTTAAGACATTTTGAACTTACTGTCTGCTTGTAGGTTCATCTGACAAATATTCAGGTCTATTGGGGAAAAAAAAACATGGTTTAAATATTCTGTGTTTTTATTATTATAGCAGTAAGTAGGAACCCGGTTGTTAGTCGATTAACGGATTGCTTTTCCAGGGTTAATATTCGATTTAAAAAATGATACGATAATAATAAAAATAATGTAGTCACTCAATCCACGGCTGTTTGTGGGATGCTGCTGTGCGCAAGTGGCTGCCGCGTTTCGCCCACAAAACATACAGACACTACACTTTATGGTTTATCCTGGTGATGCGCTTTGAGACGTCTCGAAGACGTGATAAGGTGCTGTATCAAATGCAAGGCTTATTATTATTATTATATTCACATTTTCATTTTTTTCCTACAAATTGCATAGTTTGAAAGGGACAGTTGATTGGAAAAGAGAAAGGAGTTTCTCTCCCCTCTCTCTCTCTCTCCCCCCCGGTGTCCTGGCCAACAAACCCTCCTCAGATAATATTGCACACTTGCTTCACGGCTGTTTGCGGGCACGTCGCTGTATGCCAAGCATGGGCCGCCCGCGAAACACGCAGTCACTACACTTCCCGGTAGGGAAAAAAAAATCCCACGTGATAAGGCTCACGTGTGTAAAAGTGAAAGAGAGACATTTTACCTCCTTCCCTGTCCTTTAAAGATTTATCTGTTGATGCGAGAATGAGAAGAGAGGTCATTCACGAAAATAATGATAATGTTAATCCTTGCATTTGATACAGCGATGTATCGCGTCTTCGAGACGTCTCAAAGCGCTTCACAGAACATGCTGTAAAGTGAAGCGACTGCATATTCCGTGGGAGAATCGCGTCAGGCAATTGCGCACAGCAGTGTCCCACAAGCACTCGTGGATTGAGTGACTACATCATTTTTAAAATGTATTTTTGTTTTGGAAGGGATTATTACCCCCGGAACAGCGATCTGCCAATCGACTAACAACCAGGTTCCAACTTACTGCCAGGTAAACAGAGGCGTGCGTGTGGAGTAAGAAAACTTGCCCAACGTTTTGCCCTGAACCGTGCGGGAATCGAATCTGGGTCCTCTCGCTTGCGAGGCGAATGCTCTAACCACTGAGCTACAGGACTCCACATAATAACAACAATATTATCAGTAAAATTAACATAAATGGTTTATTCTTACCTTTTTTAGCCAAAAGGTCTTTCAAATTCGTGATTTCTGGGGGGGAGATAATAAATGTTGATTTTTCTGTGTGTTTTATTTTTTTCGTTTCCCTTTCAATCTGGGAAGTAACGAGTTGAATTATTTCTCTCCAATCATTTCAAGATCTCGTTCTCTCCTTTTCAATCTCTCCGCTATCTCTTTCAGTCTCTCTGCTCCCTCCCTCCCTCCAAACAGCGATGTGGAGATTTGTAGTTCAGTGGTTCGAGAGCTTGTCTGCCAAGCAAGAGGACCTGGGTTCAATTCTCGGGCAGGCCAGGGTGAAATGTTGGGCAAGTTTCCTTACTCTGCACATGCACGCACGCGCGCCTCTGTTTTCTAGCAGTCAGTAGGAACCCGGTTGTTAGTCGATTGGCAGATCGGTTTTCCTGGGGTAATAATCCCTTCATTAATAATAATTTGGTCACTCAATCCATGACTGTTTGTGGGAAACCGCTGTGCGCAATTGGCTGATGTCTTTCGCCCACAAAATATAGTCACTACACTTTACAGTGTATCCTGAGAAGCGCTTTGAGACATTTCAAAGACATAAGGAGGCACTGTGTCAAATGCAAGGATTATTATTATTAATTGCGTAAGTTAGTTTTCGTCTGCATCTTGTTATCACAAGTTCCGAAAAATATTTACCTTTCTCGTTTTGCCAGAGAATTTGATCTGCCAAGCATATTTGTACGTGATTACAAACAAATAATAACAATCCCCACGTTTGACACGGCGCCTTATCAAGTTGGGAGGGAGGACTTAAGGTGCTTCTCAGGATTTCCACTGTGATGTCTAGTGATGGTGCATTTGGTTTCGCGCACAGCGACGTCGGGCAAACAGCTGTGAAGCGAGTGAGCGATTTTATCTGTCTTTCAGGACACTGAGAAATTGAGGAAGGGAAACTCCTTCCTCTTTCCCCGACAGCGCCGTGGGAGATCTTTAATGGCCGCCCTGAACAGGACAGACGGGGAGGGAAGGGAGCGAGTGAGTTTTAGCATCCCATCCGAAGGACGGGATCTCCGACAATGGGGCGCTCTCTTTCTCTCCCCCCAGTACTGCACTGGAGTGTCTTGGTAAATATATGTCATTTGTTTGGGAAAATATGAAGCGATTCCTTACCAGTTGTTTTGCACTTCTGTTTTAATTCTGTGGGTGTTAATAATAATAATAATCCTTGCATTTGATAAAGTGCCTTATCATGTCTTCGAGACTTCACACAATATACTGTAAAGTAAATTGACTATATATTTTGTGGGTAAAACGCAGCAGCAAATGGCACACAGCAGTGTCCCACAACCAATTTTGGATTAAGTGACCAAATTATTATTATTAAGGCATTATTACCCCTGGAAAAGTGCTCCACCAATCGACTAACAACTGGGGTTCTTATTTACTGCTAGGTAAACAGAGCCGTGTGGAGTAAGGAAACTTGTCCAACGGAATCAAACCCGGGTCCTTTTGCTTGCGCCAATCGACTAAGAACCAGGTTCCTACTTGATGCTAGGGAAACAGGCGCATGTGTGTGTGGAGTAAGGAAACTCTGCCCTGATACACCCGGGTATCGAAGCCAGGTCCTCTCCCTTGCGAGGCGAGTGCTCTAACCACTAAGCTACAGGACTCCAGGGCTGTGTATTTGGTTAGGTGTGTAAAGGGGAAAAAAATAGTTTATTTTGATCCGTAAATGATTATGTATAAATTCCAATCCTTCTGCCTTGCCCCCTTCCTCCCTCCCCTTCAAATGCCGCCTAAAGACCTTCCTTTTTGATCGTGCTTACGGTCACCTCCCCCACTCCCTCTCCCCCTGGCTCGGGGTCAGACTCCGCCACTATCAAGCGCTCTGGGACGCTACTCTGTGTGTGAGCGTGTAAATGCAAGTCATTGATTTATTTACAATAATAATTAACTTCTTTCAAAAATATACATGACCGATTTACCTTCTGCCTTCTCTGAGTACTGGATCTCTGTTTTGTAAACACAGCAATATTTTCATATCAATAAATACAATACAAAATGACATTTGTAAAGCGCCTTTCACGTCAGAAGGATGTCCCAAGGCACTGAATAGTCAGGGATTATGAATCGAGCGGGTGGGGTGTGGGGGGGAGGTTGGGATCAGGGAGGATGGAGGGCAGAGGTCACGGTCAAAGAAGAGGATCTTGAGGTGGGCCTTGAAGGAGGCAAGGGAGGGAGCGAGGCGATGGGAATGTGAGATGGAGTTCCAGAGGGTGGGGGCAGAGAGGCTGAAGGCTTGACCGATGATGGTGGGGGATATGGAGCAGGCTGGAGCCTGCTGAGCGGAGGGAGCAGACAGGTTGATAAGAGGTTAGTAGGTCAGAGAGCTAGGAGGGATCAAGGCCATGGAGGGCTTGAAGGTGAGTACGAGGGTTTTGAACTCGATCCTCTGAGGGATGGCAAGCCAGTAGAGCCAGGCGAGGGTGGGTGTGATGGGGTCACAGAGCCTTGAGCAGGAGATGACATGGGCTGCAGAGTTCTGGATGATCTGCAGCTTGTCAAGGGAAGAGTTGGGAAGACCGACAAGCAAGGTATTAGCATAGTCGAGCCTGGTTGTAATGAAGGTATGTATGAGGGTTTCAGCAGCCTGAGGGGTGAGGCAGTGGCGGAGCCCAACAATGTTGCAGAGGTGGGGGAAGGCAGAGCGGGTCATGGCATAGATGTGGGGGAGAAGGGACAGTTGAGGGTTCCTGACTGGCTTGGCGAGGTGGAGTATGCATTCCTGGATGCTGATGCTGCCAGCGCCTGAGGTGCGGAGGCGCTGGAACGAGCCAATCGGGAGAGCCTCGGTCTTGCTGATGTTGAACTGTAGAAAGTTGACTCTCATCCAGGACTTGATGTCTGACAGACATTCTATCCTGGAGTCGAGGGTGGAGACAGAGAGATAGAGATGGGTGTTATCTGCATACGCGTGGAAGTTGACCCCATTTCTGCGGATGATGTCACCAAAAGGAAGCATGTACAGGTTGGAGAGGACTGACGACACTGCATGAGATGGTGCAGGTGCTGAAGGAGAAGCCCTTTGTGGGGCCAAAGTGGAGCTGGTGTGAGAGATAGGAACTGAACCGTTCAAGGACAGAACCTTGAAGGTTGAGGTGAGAGGAGAGGCGGTGGAGGAGAATAGAGTGTTGCACAGTGTCAGAGGCAGCAGGGAGGTGGAGAAGGAAGAGGAGACAGAGGGAGTCCTGGTCGCAGATGGACAGAATGTCATTTGTCACCCTGACCAGGCTGTTTCCATGCCTGTGGCCAGCACAGAAACTCAATTTGAGGGGTTCGTAAAGGGAGTCAAGAGGAAGGAGTGAAGCTGGGAATACTTTCAAGGATCTTGGAAAATGAGGTTGGAGATGGAACGGTAGTCAGTTGGCAGGGATGGGTCTAGGGAAGGTTTTTTTAGGATAGGGCATGACAGTTATTTTTAGGGGTGTGGGTCCGCTGCCAGTTGACAGGGAGAGGTTGATGCGATCTGACAGTAAAGGGCGAGGAGTGGAGTGGAGAGGGAGGGGTGATTCTTCTCCAGGGGTGGTAAGAGGTGGAGGTGGGTTGGATGACAGTGGGTAGAGGGATTAAGAAGTTAAGGGAGATTAAATGGTGATCCGAGATGGCGTCATCGGTGATTGTGGGGTCCGAGAAACTGAGGCCCCAGGTAATCACCAGCTCAAGTGGTTGGCCATGGATGTGGGTGGAGGGAGGTAGAGGTTGTAAGACGAAAGGAGAGAGAATTCGGTGGAGATAGAGCAAGAGGGGGTGAAGTGCAGGTTGAAGTTGTCTCGGACAAGCAGGCATTCAGAACAGAAGCAGAGGGAAGCTAGGAGGGGGGAGAAGTCAGAGATGAAAGTGGGAGAGGGTTTGGGGGATGATAAATCAGGAGAATGTTGAGGGAAAGATTGGACGGATGGTAGAGGGTAAGGTGCTCGAAGGAGAGGAATGAACTGGAGGAATAGGGGGACAGAGCAAGTGAGCACCTGGAGATGAGAGCAACGTATAGCCAGGTGGTGTAGCCTCGATCAGAGGGAACGTGTCATCTTGGGTGAACCAGGTTTCAGTAAGGGCCGGGGTATCGATGTTACCATCAACGATGATGTTGTTGATGGCAAGAACCTTGTTAGAAAGGAAGCGGACATTTTGCAGGCCAGTGCGGAAGGGACAGTGGCAGAGGAACATGTGCAACGGGAGCAGGTGATGGGATTTGCAGGGACGCAATCAACATCATCAGTAGTCCTGTAGCTCCGTGGTTAGAGCGCTCGCCTCCCAAGCTACTTGTTACTTCCCAGATTGAAAGGGAAAGTAAAAAAAAACACACAGAAAAATCAACATTTATTCGGCCCCCCCAGAAATCACAAAATTTGAAAGATCTTTTGGCTAAAAAAAGGTATTTACTGATAATATTGTTATTATTATGCGGAGTCCTGTAGCTCAGTGGTTCGAGCGCTCACCTCGCAAGCAAGAGGACGCAGATTCGATCCCCAGGTGGGTCAGGGTGAAATGTTGGGCAAGTTTCCTTACTCCACACCCACGTCTCTGTTTACCTAGTGTTAAGTAGGAAGCTGGTTGTGGGTCGATCGGTGGACCACTTTTCTAGGGGTAATAATCCTCTCAAAAAAAATACTACTAAGAATGTAATAATAATAATGGTCACTCAATCCACAACATTGCTGTGCGCAATTGGCTGCCGCGTTTCGCCCACAAAATACAGTCAATTCACCTTACAGTATATTCTGTGAAGCGCTTTGAGATGTCTCGAAGACATGGTAAGGCGCTATATCGAATGCACAGATTATTATTATTATTATCATCATCAACTACTCACCCAATTCCCTGACTTTGTTTCTCAAATAGCTGAGTTCTGGTAAGAAAATACATATATTATATTTCTACTGGATCGAGTTGAATTCTTTTTATAAAGAAAGCAAGTAAAGAAAGAGAAACACATTTCTTACCAATGTTATTCAGTTCAGTGTTTTGTTCTGTTAATCGGAAACAAATTAATAATAATCCTATATTTCTTACAGCGCCTTTCATGTCGGGAGGAAGTCCCAAAGCGCTTTGCGGGAATTTTCAACGTGAAGTGTAGTGACTGTGAAGTCATCGCAAAGTCGTGAAGTGAGTGAGCGATTTTATCTGGCAGATTGTCGGGCAGGACACCGGGAGAGAGAGAGACAGAGAAACTCCTTTCTCTTTTCCCTTCAGCACCGTGGGAGATCTTTAACTTCTGCCCTGAACAGGGCACAGACGGAGACGGAGGGGAAATGAGTGCGGTTTAATGTCTCATCCGAAGGACGGCGTCTCCTACAATAATAATCCTCGCATTTGATACAGTGCCTTATCACGTCTTCAAAACGTTCTCAAAGCGCTTCACAGGATACACTGTAAAGTGAATTGACTGTATATTTTCTGGGCAAAACGCGGCAGTCAATCGCGCACAGCAACGTCCCACAAACAGCCTACTTACTGCTAGGTAAACAGAGGCGTGTGCATGAGGAGTAAGGAAAGTTGCCCAAGGTTTCGCCCTGAACCGTCCGGGAATCGAACCCAGGTCCTCTCACTTGCGAGGCGATTGTTCTAACCACTGAACTACAGGACTCCACAGGATTTGTTTGTAAGATGTGCTCATTCTTACCGGCTGCCTCCAATTTTTTCTTGACCACCCGAAGTTCTACAAAAGAAGCCAAACTCCGCCATTCAACATGTTACCTGCCTCATGATGTTTAACGTGTTTCACACGGGGAGGGAGCAGCGGGTAGGTATAATCGTGGCTGAACTGACTTCAAGGTGACACAAACTTTCTCTCCCTCTCGAAAGCCAGAGCGAAAGAGAGACTGACGGTAAATAAACAATAATATAATATTGATAATCCTTGCATTTGATATAGAGCCTTATCACGTCTTTGAGATGTCTGTAAACTATATTTTGTATATTTTGTGGGCAAAATGCAGCAGCCAACGGTGCACAGCAACGTCCCACACAGTCGTGGATTGAGTGACCAATTTTTTTTTGAACAGATTATTACTCCCAGAAAAGCGACCTGCCAACCTACTTATTGCTCGATAAACAGAGGCGTCGGTGTGTGTGGAGTAAGGAAACTTGCCCAACGTTTCGCCCTGATGAGCCCGGAAATCGAACCCGGGTCGTCCCACTTGTGAGAAGAGTGCTCTACCACTGAGCTACAGAGAAGATGGAATTTTTTTTACCTGTGTTATATTGAAATAACATCTCCTCTGTAGAGAAGGGTCAACATCAAGGATGAAAAATATCAACATCAACAATATCAATATCATCAACATTAGTTTAAATTTTCAATGAGCAAAATAAAATCTTTCTGTTGGTAACTGATTGCATTACCGTTGCTCTTTAAAATGTTTCTGCAACCCTTTATTTCTTTAAAAGAAAATATATTTTAGGGCATTTAAACGTGGATTTTTTTTTAAATAGAGACTTCATTAAATTAAATGTACTTTTTTTGTCCCGAATTGGGTTTTTGGGGAAATGTTTTTACCTATGTCTCTTTGTTGCACACGTTTATCTGAGAAGAAAATAATAAAATGCAAGTAATCAATATCAACATCAACAAGTCCTGTAGCTCAGTGGTTAGAGCACTCGCCTTACAAGCGAGGGGACCTAGGTTTGATTCCCGAAAGAGTCAGCACAAAACGTTGGACAAGTTTCCTTACTTATTTCCTTAAATACACACACGCCTGTTTACCTAGCAGTAAGTATGAACTCAGTTGTTAGTTGATTGGCGGATCGCATTTACGGGGGGGAATATAACAAATTGGTCAATCAATCCACAACTGCCGCTTTTCACCCAAAAATACAGTCACCACACTTTACAGTATATTCTGTGAAGCAGTTTGAGACGTCTTAGGCGCTATATCAAATGCAAGGATTATTATTACTCTGACCTAACAAATAACTAGCTCCCTCAGTCTTGAAGACGTGAATGGATCCAGCCATAATCCACAGCTTTTGGGGGAAGGGAGAGTTCCAGATTCCTACGACCCTTTGGGTGAAATACTGCCTCCTAATTTCACTCTTAAATGGCCTAGCTCTAATTTTAAGATGATGTCCCCTTGTTCTGGATCCTCCCCCACCCACCAGTGGAAATAGTTTCTCTGTAACTTCCCTATCGAATTCGTTTAATATTTTAAAAACCTAGCCCACAAAATATACAGTCAATTCACTTAACTGTATATGCTGTGAAGCACCTTGACGTGTCTCAATGACGTGATAAGGCGCTATATCAAATGTAAGGATTATTGCATTATCCTAATTCCTCACTGTTCAGCGCCTTGGGATGTCCTCCTGACATGAAAGGCACTTTACAAATGTACTTTTGTATTTTGTATTGTATTATTATTATTCTCACTGACCATCTGTTGGGCACTTTGTATTATATTCTGTGTTGAAAGAAATACATTAATAAATTCAAGGTTAGAAACAAATAATATCAAATGTTAATAATGTATGTGCATGTTGTGTTATTCATGAAGAATATTATTATTGTTATTATTATTATTGTATATTACTTTATTAGAATTCTTTATGTATTACCAGTCTGTTTGAGAAGCAATCTGCTTTCTGTGATACAGAGAAGGAAACAGAATTGACATAATTCAATTTAAATAATTATATTTAATTTAAATTAATTTAAATACAAGCAGTGATTACACAAGATGCTATCAGTGTTAATATAATATAATAATATTATATGTGGAGTCCTGTAGCTCAGTGGTCAGAGCACTCGCCTCGCAAGCGAGAGGACCTGGGTTCGATTCGTGGCTGGGTCAGGGCGAAATATTGGGCAAGTTTCCTTACTCCACACTCACGCCTCTGTTTACCAAGCAGTAAGTAGGAACCCGGTTGTTAGTCGACCGGCTGATTGCTTTTCCGGGGATAATAATCGCTTCCCAAAAAATAATTAAATAATAATTTGGCCACTCCATGAGTGTTTGTTGAATGTTGCTGTGCGCAATTGGCTGCTGCGTTTCGCCCACAAAATATACAGTCAATTCACTTGACATTACATGCTGTGAAGCACTTTGAGAAGTCTCGAAGATTTGATAAGGCGCTATATCAAAGGCAAGGATTATTATTGTTATATAAAAAAATCATAATTTGCCTGTGGCTTTCAATTTCTCTTCATAATGGCTGATCACTGGAAAGGAAACAAATATATGTGCTTTTCTCTCTACCCCACACAAAAAAAACTTACCCACCGCCACTCAAATTTGCACTCCTCTCTCTCTTTCTCCCCTTCCCTCTTTCCTTCCTTTCCCTCTCTCCCTCCCTCTCTCTCTCTCGCACAATCCCTCTCTCCCTTTCTCATTCCCTCTCTCTCTTTTCCTCTTTTACTCCCTCATCCTTCTCTATCCTCCCCTCCTCCTCTGCCTTTCTCTCCCTCCATCACACTCTCTCTCCCTCCTTCTCTTCCTCCATCCCCCCCTCTTTCTCCCTTCTTCCCTCTCTCTCTCTCTCTCGCTCCAACTATAGGCAGCTGTGCTTTCAGCCACTATGCCCCAATGCTCTGTCAATTCCTGTCTCTACCCCTCCGCCCCGCTCACCTCCTCTTTACCCTTTACTCCACTTCACATCCCAACTGAAGACTTTCCTCTTTGACCCCCCACTCCCCGACCAACACACACACAGACTCAGACAAACACAAACATCAGTCCTCCCCACATGAAAGGCACTGCAAAATGTTGCTTGTATTGGGTCGTTCATGATTATTATTATTATTGACATTATTACTATTATTATATATTATTTGATTAGAATTCTCTATGTTTTATCAGTCTCACACATACACAAACACACACACACAGACAGATACTGACTTCGATTTTTTTCCTTTATGGTATCATCTGTTGAGAGTACAGAAAAAATCCAGCAATTAATAAGATTCAATTCTTATCACATCAGGAGGGAGTACGTCTCAAAGCGCTTTGCAGTTTAGTGAAGTGTAGTGACTGTGACACAGAGCTTTTATCTAGGGGGATCGTTGGCCAGGACACATTCACTCACGCATACAATAATATCATTATGATAATAATAATGTGGTCACTCAATCCACGACTGTTTGTGGGACACTGCTGTGCACAATTGGCTGCCGCGTTTTGCCCACAAAATATACAGTCAGTCGACTTTACAGTATATTCTGTGAAGCGCTTTGAGACATCTCGAAGCGCTGTATCAAATGCAAGTATTATTGTTATTATAAACACTCTCTCTCAATCTCTTATACACACTCTTTCTCACGCACACACTCACACATTCTTTTTCTCCTCACTCTCACACTCTCACACACACTCTCTCTCACACACACACTCTCCCACTTTTTCTCTCACGCACTCTCTTTCTCTCTCACACACTTTCTCTCTCCACACACTTTCTTTATCTCTCTCACATTCTCACTCACTCACACTTCACCCACTCTTTCTCTCACACTCTCTTTCTCTCACACTCACTCACCAACTCTCACACTTCCTGTCACACACACTCTCTCACTCAATCACACACTCTCAAATTTTGTCTTTCTCTCTCACCTTTCAGTTTTATAGCTTCGCGACAAATGTTTAACTCTGAAAATAAAGAAAAATAAAGTTTGACCATTCAAAACGGTAATTTTTTCCAACAAAAGATATGTTTACCACCATTTTTCCCCTACCGAAGCCTCTCTCTCTCTCTCATATTCGCTCACATACACTCTCTCTGTCACCCATCTCCTTCCCTCCTGAAAGACCTATAAAATATGATGTTAATGATGTTGATAATAATAATAATCCTTGCATTTGATATAGCGTCTTATCATCTTATCACATTTTTGAGACGCCTCAAAGCGCTTGACAGAATATAAATATTGTGGGCGAAATGCGGCAGCCAATTTCACACAACAACATACTACAAACAGCTGTGAATTGAATGACCAAATGATTATGATGTTTGGTGGCGGGATTATTACCCTTGGAAAAGCCATCTACCAATCGACTGACAAGCGGGTTCACACTTACTGGTAGACAGAGGTGTGCGCGCGTGTGGAGTAAGGAAATTTGCCGTTTCGTCCTGACCTGACCCGCCCGGGAATCGAATCTAGGTCCTCGCTTGCGAGGCGAGTGGTCTCACCACTGAGCTACAGGACTTCAGAATGTTGATGATGATGTTGATTATGTTGGAAGCATCAAACACACAACACGTTAAGGAGGAAAGCGAGATGGGAGATCGAGAGGACAGATACAAGGAAGTGTTTCTTTACCCAGAGAGTGTGTGGGTGTGTTTGGAGGGAGAGGGAATTAATACGAGGAACAGGGTTACCCAGGAAAGGAGGGGTGGGGGGGGTTCTGGAGGGGATTCGATCAGATGGGTGAGGGAGAGAGAGAGAGAAGTGGGGATGGGGAGAAGGGGCTTTATTCATCCGAAACCCCAATCTCGTAAACATTTGATCTTTAAAGGTTATTCACCGCTTTCCAAAACCGAACATGAGTTGTCTGTAAGGCGAATAATAATAATAATAATAGCAATAATCCTTGCATTTGATACCACGCCTTATCACATCTTCAAGACATCTCAAAGTGCTTCACAGTACTGTACTGTAAGGTAAATTGACTGTATATTTTGTGGGCGAAACGTGCCAGCCAATTGCGCACAGCAGCGTCCCACAAACAGTCATGAATTGAGCGACCAAATTAGTATTATTTATTTCGAATGTTTCGCCTCGACCTGCCCTGGAGTCGAACCCAGGTCCTTTCGCTTGCGAGGCTTTATTACCCCCGGAAAAGAGATCTGCCAATCGACTAACAACCATTTTCCTGCTTACTGCTAGGTAAGTAAAGACTTGTATGTGGAGTAAGGAAACTTGCCCAATGTTTCTCCATGACCTGCCCGGGAATTGAACCCAGGTCCTCTTGCTTGCGAGGCGAGTGTTCTAACCAATAAGCTCCTACTTATTTTTTTAAACATTAATATTAGCTTTTTTTGGGGGGGTGGGGTGGGGTGGAATAAAACATGTACCTGTTTCTGATTCCGCGAATACCAAATCTGTCGAATTGAAAAGTTGACAATATTTGTGAAAACATTTTGAAACGGGATTTCGAACGATAATCAGAACAAGAATAAGAACCCTCTCATTCGACATGGCACCTCATCATGTCAGGATGGAGGGAGGACTTCTCAAAGCACTTCACAGGATTTTTCGCCGTGAAGTGTAGTGACTGTGCGTTTTGTTTGTGCACAGAGACGTCCCTGCAAACAGCTGTTAAGCAAGCGAGCAAATCTATGTGTGGGATGCAAGAGAGAAGAGAAGGGAGTTTCTCTATAACAATAATAATAATAATAATAATCCTTGCATTTGATATAGCGCTTTTCACGTCGGGAGGATGTCCCAAAGCGCTTCACAAAACACACTGTAAAGTGAATTGACTGTATATTTTGTGGGCGGAACACGGGAACCAATTGCGCACGGCAACGTCCCATAAACAGTCGTGGATTTGAATGACCGATTTATTAGAAAAGCAATAATTACGAAACGATCTCTCGTGTCAATAACTTTCTTACTAAAATGTCATGCGCGTTGGCTGGTTAAACAGAGGCGTGCGGAGTGCGGAAACTTGCCCAATGTTTCGCCTCGACCTGCCCTGGAGTCGAACCCAGGTCCTCTCGCTTGCGAGGCGAGGGCTCTAAGCACTGAGCTACAGGGCTCCACATATGACGTAAACACAGATACTCACCACGCTTTGGTCTTGCCTCTTCAAAATGACCTTCTGTATCAAGGGAAGCAAAGTTTTGGTGTTTTAAAGGCAAGGCACAAAATTAATTTGGCTGATATATGTCAGACTACCTTGCCCCCACCTCCTGTCCTCCACGTCCCCCCCACGCACACACACACCACTTTCAGAATCCCTCCAACTCCCTCCTTCCTTCTCTCCCATCGCTCATTTAAACCACAACTCAGAAAATCGTACCTCTTTAACCACACTTAGTCATCTTAATTCCTCCCTCCTTCCCCTCTCATTACCACATCTCACCACTTATGCAGCCCCCGCCACCTGTCACACACACAAAATCAATCCCCGACTGTTTGTGGGCCACCGCTGTGTGCAATTGGCTGCCACGTTTCGTCACAGCGGAACCTGTGAAGCACTTTGAGACACCTTGATGACATGATAAGGCATTGTATCAAATACAAGGATTATTATTACTCTCACAATCTTGGGAGCTTTGTGAAAGTGCTTTGTGATATCCTCCTGGGTGAGTGTACATGTGTATCTGTGCGTGTGAGTGTGCCTGTGTGCGAATGCAAACAGTTTCTATGTGGTGTATTACCCTTCATCCGTTCATTGAAATGTCCTTCTATAATTCGAAATGTACAGCATGAAACATTCATATTTGTACAATTGGCCCCTTATCAAGCCAAGATACTATTGATGGTAATGTTGATAATATAATTTAATAATAATAATCCTTGCATTTGACATAGCTTCAAATCACTTCTCTGAGACGTCTCAAAGTGCTTCACTGGATATACTGTGAAGTGAATTGACTGTATATTTTGTAGGCCAAATTCGGCAGCCAATTGCGCACAGACTGCAGTGTCCCACAAACTGCCATGGATTGAGTGATCAAATTTATTATTATTATTACTTTTTTCGAAGGAATTATTTCCCCCAGAAAAGCGATCTGCCAATTGACTAACAACCGGATTCCTACTTGCTGCTCAGTAAACAGAGGTGTGTATGTGGAGTAAGAAAACTCGCTTAAAGTTTCCCCCTGCCCGGAATCGAGGCGAGTACTCTAACCACTAAGCTACAGGACTATAGATGATCGTGATGGTGTAAATTTTGACTTACGTGCAACTCTAAGTTTCACTTTCATGTTTTCAATATCTGAAAGTCCAAAAAAAATCATCAGTCACGTTCCCTTTAAACTTTCAAAAGAAAAAGAAACAAAACTTTTATTTTATTTTCAAAGTTTGTTAAAAGATTCCTTCGCTGATATCTTCTAGAAACACCAAATACACACCTCAAGAATCTGCTTAATTTGGCGTTTGACCCACAAAAATAGCATTTCTTCCCCCCTCTTTTAATCTTTGTGTTTGCTGTTTGATCTTCAAATCAAGGTGCGATTGATTTTTTTGGGTCAGAATTTAAATTTAAAATCAAGTGGATTTTTTTTGCTTCATCGGGAATTTAAATTGAAATGAAATCAGATTTTTTTTGTTGTTGAATTGATGATCGGTTAAATTAGGAATTTAAAAATTGAAATCAGCTCAATTTTTTTTAGATTGTGAATGGTTAAAAGCAAGATCAACCTGTCTGCTCCCCTCCGCTCAGTGGTCTTCAGGCTGCTTCACGTCCCCAGCCTTGCCCAGCCGGCCCCATCATCGGAAGTCAGGCCTTTAGCCTTTCTGCCCGCACCTCTGGAACTCCATCCCACTTTCCCTCCGCCTCACCCCCTGCCTTGCCTCCTTTAAGACCCGTTTCAAGACCCTACTCTTCGACCGTGCCTTCGGTCACACTCCTACCCACACCATCCGCGCCCTACACCCCTCCTGATCCTAAAAAGGCGCTGTGTAAATGTAAATTCATATCGTGTTTACCTGCGTCTTTCTGAAGTAGGTTACGAACTGCAGTGAAAATATACATATTTTATGTGTTAATTTCATTGCATTTTTTTTCCAACATCAAGCTGTTTGCACTTATTATATAGTATACAACAACAACTTGCATTTATATAGCGCCCTTTAATATATAAATATATATATTATAAATGCATATATTATATCATATATTCTAATATAATAATCATTGCATTTGGTATAACACCACCTTATCACATCTATGGGATGTCTCAAAGCATTTCACAGGATATACTGTAAAGTGAATTGACTGTGTATTTTGTGGGCGAAAAACAGCAGCCAATTGCGCACAGTGACGTCCCACCATCAGCCGCGGATTGACTGATCAAATTATTTCAATTTATTTTGAAGGGATTATTATTATTATTACCCCCGGAAAAGCGATCCGCTAATCGACTAACAAGCGGGTACCTACTCACTGCTAGATAAACAGAGGTGTGTATGAGGGTGTATGTGTGTGTGTGAAGTAAGCAAAATTGCCAAAGTTTCGCACTGACCCACCCTTGCTTGCGAGACGAGTGCTCTAACCACGAGCTACAGGACCCATACGTGGGTGCGAGTCCTAGATATTGTTATAATTCTATATTCCAGTTATCTGCGCTTTATTTACAAAACCTACGATTCCATTTTCAACTTTAATTGCCACGCCACCCTACCCACCTGCCCCTTAAAAAACAATCCGTTTGTCTCACTTACCCGTCTTTTGCAGTAGAATTTCAATTTCTTCAAATAATCACAATAATAATAATAATAAACCTCGCGCCTTATCACGTCGGGAGGGTGGACGACTCAAAGTGCTTTGCGGGATTTTCACGGTGACGTGTAGTCACGGTATGTTTCGCGCACAGCAACGTCCCTGCAAACAGCCGTGAAGCGAGCAAGAAATTTTAATCTGGGGGGACTGTCGTCCAGGACACCGGGAGAAACTCCCTTCTCTTTTCACGGCAGCGCTGCGGGAGATCTTTAACGTCCGCCCTGAACAGGGCACAAGCTAGAGGAGGGAGGGAGGGAGTGAGTGAGTGAGGTTTAATGTCTCATCTGAAAAATGGTGTCTCCGACAATGCTGCTCTCTCTCTCTCCTTCCTCAGAGCGCTGCGATGGAGTGTCAGTTTAGACTATATGAGTTCCGAGTTCCTGATGCGTGTGTGTGTGTGTGTTTTGGGGAGGGCAAAGTAGGTGTGGATTAGATTTTTTCTCCCCCTCTCCCCTTGACCCCGTCCTGACCCAAATATTCCACAAGATCTACATCGAATTATACTCTGTCCAGCGCCTTGGGATGTCCTCCCGACATGAAAGGCATTATAGAAATGCAATTGTGTTGTTGTCGTTCCTGTACCTGTGTCTTTCTCTCTTGGTTGTAGATCTGTAAAAAAAAATGGACAAATCGATATAAAACTTCAACAATATGTATCTTTAGACACCCCACCTGGAGCGAGAAGACCTGGGTTTGATTCCCGGACAGGTCAGGGTGAAATGTTGGGCAAGTTTCCTTACTCCACACACATACACACACACGCCTCTGTTTACCGAGCAGTAAGTGGAAACCCGGTTATTGGTCGATTGGCAGAATGCTTTTTCGCGGGTAATAACCCCTTCAAAAATTAATACGTTTAAAAATATAAATTGGTCAAATTCAACCCACGATGTAATCCTTATATAATAATCATTGCTTTTGATGAGGCGCCTTATTACGTCTCCAAGCTCTTCACAGCATTTTTCACCTCGAAGTGTAGTGACTGTGCGTGTTGCGCACAGCGATGTCCCGCAAACAGCCGTGAAGCGAATGCCGTGGGAGGTCTTTAACAGCCGTCCCGAGCAGGGCACAGACTGGAGAAGGGAGGGAGTGAGTGAGGTTTAACGTCTCATGCGAAGGTCGGGTCTCCAACAGTGCAGCTCTCTCTCTCTCCCTCACCAGAGCACTGAGTTGGAGCAACAGTTTAGACTATATGAGTTCCGCGTTCCTGATGCGCGTGTGTGTGCGTTTTGGGGAGTGCAAAATAGGTGTGGATTAAATTTTTTCTTCCCCTCTCCCCTTGACCCTGTCCTGACCAAAATATTCCACAAGATTTACAACACAGCATGGAATGATACTCTGTGCCTGTACCCGAGTCAATCTCTCTTGATCTTATACCTGTAAAAAAACACAAAATGGACAAATCAATATAAAACTTCAACTATATATATCTATAGACACCCCACCTGGATTGTGCACACCCTCTCTCTCTCTCTCCTTCTGTCACACACATTCTCTCTCAATCTGTCTTTCTTTCTCTCTCTGTCGCTCTTTCTCTCTCCAAAGCCTGGCAAGAAAAAGAGGACTTGTGTGTGGGAGGGAGACTGCGCATTGTTAAGGTGGGGGAGAAGGGAGGAGGTAGTATTGGAGCTTAACTGGCTAAATCACACACAGCCCGCCTCCCCCATTAAGAGCACTGTTTGTCAAGTCCCCTGTCAACCATATCCACCTCAGACCAATCCTTTCTGTTACTCATTCAGTCCTGTAGTTTAGTGGTAAGAGCACTCGCTTTGCAAGTGAGAAGACTTGGGTTTGATTCCTGCTTGGGTCAGGGTGAAATGTTGGGCAAGCTTCCTTACACCACGTACACACACACATGCCTCTGTTTACCGAGCAGTAAGTAGGAACCCGGTTATTGGTCGATTGGCAGAATGCTTTTTTTCAGGAAATAATGCCTTCAAAAATTCATATATTTAAATATATAAATTGGACACTTCAATCCACGGCTAATCTTTATATAACAATCATTGCGTTTGATGAGGCGCCTTATCACGTCTCAAAGCAATTCACAGCATTTTTCACCGTGAAGTGTAGTGATTGTGCGTTTTGCGCACAGCGACGTCCCCGCTGAGAGGCGTGAAGCGAGCGCCGTGGGAGATTGTTCACGGCCGTCCCGAGCAGGGCACAGACTGGAGAAGGGAGGGAGTGAGTGAGGTTTAACGTCTCATGCGAAGGTCGGGTCTCCAACAGTGCAGCTCTCTCTCTCTCCCTCCCCGGAGCACTGCGCTGGAACATCAGTTTAGACTATATGAGTTCTGAGTTCCCGATGCGTGTGTGTGTGTGTCTGTGTGTTTTGGGGGGGGCAAAATAGGTGTGGATTAGATTTTTTTTCTTCCCCTCTCTCCTGACCCAAATAATCCAAAAGATTTACAACACAACATGGAATTGTACTCTGTTCCTGTACCTGAGTTTATATCTTTTGGATTCACATCTGTAAAAGAACCAAAATGGACACCCTCTCTCTCTCTGTCACCCTTTCTCTCGTTCTACATTTAAAAAAATAAATTGGTCACTCAATCCACGGCTGTTTGTGGGATGTTGCTGTTTGCAATTGGCTGCCGCATTTCGCCCACAAAACAGTCACTCCACTTTACAGTGCATCCTGTGAAGCGCTTTGAGACGTCTCGAAGATGCGATAAGGCGCTATATCAAGGATTATTGCATTATTATTGTTATTGGCGTTTAAGAGAACAATCAGTCACTTGATCGATCAATAGCTTGATGTGTTGATCGATTGATTAACGATATCTTGATTAACGATCGATCCTTTGATTGATTAATGATGTTTTGCTTCGCTGGAAGGATATGTTGATTGGTTGCTTGATTGACTAATGATGTCTTGATTGATTATTGATTTCTTTCTCACTTGATCATTGACACTTGCTAGCTTCGTCGAAACATTGAACGACTGATTGAAACAATCTATACCCAAGAATTTACACGCGCACCATTTGTCTTTCATTTAGTTCAGAGATGATTTACAATCTACCAGAAAAACAACAACTTGCATTTACACCGTCCCCTTCACGCGGGATAGGGTCCCGGAGTTCTTGACGGTGGTGGAGTCTGATACCGAGCCAGGGGGAGAGCGAGGGAGCAGGAAGTGACCATAAGCACGATCAAAAAGTAAAGTCTTTAGGCGGGATTTGAAGGTGGGGAAGGAGGAAGGGTGGGAGTGGGGCCAAGTGGAGGGATCGAGAGAGAGTTCCAAAGTTTTGGGGCATAGGGGCTGAAGGCACGACTGCCAATGGTAGAGCGGGGGAGACGAAGCACAAACGGGGGGCCGGAGCCAGCCGAGCAGAGGCAACAGGTGGTGGAAGCGGTAGGGAAGCAGGCTGGAGAGGTAGGGAGGTGCCAGGGCACAAATAATTGGAAACTAGATCAATTTCCACTTACTTGTGGAAAGCTCAGCCCAAAAATAAAATTTAAAAGAATGAAACAGCGTAACAGTTTATTGTCGTGTTGGTTAAGCCTCTCTGTCCTCACCCACTGGGACTCCATCCCACATTCCCTCCGCTTCGCTCCTCCCTTGCCTCCTTCAAGACCCTCCTCGGTCATCCTCCTACCCTCCCCACCCTCAACCCCTCCTGATCCCAACCCACCCGTCAGCTCCGGTCCAAATCCCTGACTGACCAGCTCCCTGGGAAAGGCGTTGGGTAAATGTCATTTGTTGTATATATCCACCTTTTTCCCCCCAAAGATGGCATGTTCTTCAACTCGGAAATGTTGATAAGAATTAGGAGAAAAATATTTCACTTGTGACCTTCTTCTGGGTAAATCTCCCTTCCTCTTCGAGAAGCAGGAAGAGAGACATTGTGATTTTGTTTTTTTCTTTGACGATCAATTGATCGTCTTCAAGACACGATAAGGCGCTGTATCAAATACAAATAAATATAATACAAATAAATATATTAAAATTTATATAACGCAATGATTGTTATATAAAGATTAGCCGTGGATTGAAGTGACCAATGTATATATTTAAATATATTAATTTTTGAAGGGATTATTTCCTGAATTAATAATATTAATAATGGCATCATAAGTAGCTATATCAAATGCAAAAATTATTATTATATTATAATTATATTATATTATAATTATATTATAAATTCTCATACCTGTAGAACTCAAGAGTTCGTTCGAATTCTGCAATTCTAAATGTTAAAAACACACAATAATTGCAATTAATATCATGTGTGTAGAGTGAATTGACTGGATTTTGTGGGCAAAATAATAAACATTTGTTGTAAATATGCAATTATTGTAGTTATTAAATTATTTTAGACAGTATGAATAATAAGAATAACAATTAAATCAAATAATATTTTTTTACGTTTCTTATAAACTTGAAGTTCTTTTTCTGGTTAATAGGAGAAAAAGGATTACATATTGTTTTAAATAGACAGCATCTCAAATTGTTGATAGTACAAAGAACATTTCAGGTGACAGAATTTCATCATCAATAATATTAATAATGGCATCATAAGTAGCTATATCAAATGCAAAGATTATTATTATTATAATTCTCATACCTGTAGAACCCAACAATTCTTTCGAATTCTGCAATTCTAAATGTTAAAAACACACAATAATTGCAATTAATATCATGTGTGTAGAGTGAATTGACTGGATTTTGTGGGCAAAATAATAAACATTTGTTGTAAATATGCAACTATTGTAGTTATTAAATTATTTTAGACAGTATGAATAATAAGAATAACAATTAAATCAAATATTTTTTTTTACGTTTCTTATAATCTTGAAGTTCTTTTTCTGGTTAATAGGAGAAAAAGGATTACATATTGTTTTAAATAGACAGCATCTCAAATTGTTGATAGTATAAAGAACATTTCAGTTGACAGAATTTCATCATCAATAATATTAATAATGGCATCATAAGTAGCTACATCAAATGCAAAGATTATTATTATTATAATTCTCATACCTGTAGAACTCAACAATTCTTTCGAATTCTGCAATTCTAAATGTTAAAAACACACAATAATTGCAATTAATATCATGTGTGTAGAGTGAATTGACTGTATTTTGTGGGCAAAATAATAAATATTTATTATAAATGTGCAATTATTATTGTAGTTATTACATTTATTTTACACAGCATTAATAAGAAAAATAACAATTAAATCAAATAATTTTTTTTTTTACCTTTCTTAGTATCCTGAAGTTTCTTTTCTGGTTAATAGGAGAAATAGGGAATATATATATTTTTTAAAAAAAGACAGCATCTCAAATTGTTGATAGCGCAAAGCATTTTCAGTTGACAGAATTTCATCATCAATAATTATAATAATGGCGTGATATGGAGCTATTTCAAATGCAAAGTTTATTACTATAATTCTCATACCTGTAGAACTCAACAAATTCTGCCATTCTAAACGGTAAAAACGCACACAATAAAATGTGATTAATGACATTAATTTGAAAACGATCCATTTACAATTAGATCGACAGCAATATAATGTTAAGCATTTATGAGTCCATTTCAACAATTAAAGTAGAATTTTTATGATTGAATATAATAATAATCCTTGTATTTGATACAGCGCCTTATCGTGTCTTGAAGACGTCTCAAAGCGCTTCACAGGATACAGCGGAGTGACTGTATGTTTTTCTGGGCCAATTGCGCACAGCAACATCCCACAAAAACAGCCGCGGTCAGTCGTAATATAAATAATTTCGATCACATTCATTTATAAATGAATTACAATGTTGTAATATCATTCATAAGGGAGTGAGCGAGGTTGAACGTCTCATCCGAAGGACGGCTTTCCGACAATGCATCTCTCTCTCTCTCTCTCCCCCAGCCTGCGCTCTGTGTGTGTGTGTGTGTCTGTGTGCGGTGGGGGCTCGAACCCACAACCTTCTGACTCGGAAGTGAGAGAGCGAGCGACTGAGCTGAGAATTTTTTAAAAAAAATAATTGTAATTAATATATTTTTTGTACCTTTCTTTTTCGCTCGCCGTATATCTTCTGTGGAGGTTATAATTTCAGCGTAGAAGCAGTTTTGTTTTTTTGTGGGGGTGGGGAATACTTGCCAGACAGCGCTCTCAATGGCAAGCTGTGTGGTTTTAGCTGGTTAGACTCCAGGAGTTAACCCACCAACGCACACTCTGAGTTCCCCGAGGGCCTTAGCTCGCGGCCACCTGCGCCTAATACTCTCTGGAATTTGGTATAATTAGCAAGATGACGGAGAGAGTGAGTGCGCATTGCATCCCAGCAATCTATCTCTGGGATTTCCATGTGTAGGTGGGATGCATGGAATTCTCAGTTCGATTTGGAGACTCTTAAGCACGGTGATGGGTTTCTGCGTGTGTTGTTGCTGATTTTATTGAAGTTATAGGGTAGCTACAGAGAAACTATTTCCTTGGGTGGGTGGGTGGGGGGGGAATCCAGAACAAGGGGGGGCATCATCTTAAAATTAGAGCTGGGCCATTTAGGAGTGAAATCAGGAGGCAGTTTTTCACCCAAAGAGTAGTGGGAATCTGGAACTCTCTCACTCCCCCAAAAGGCTGTGGATTATGGTTGGATCCATTCACATTATCAAGACTGGGGTGGATAGATAATAATAATAAATAATAATCCTTGCATTTGATATAGTGCCTTATCACATCTTCAAGATGTCTCAAAGAGCTTCACAGTGTAAAGTGGAGTGACTGTACCTTTTGTGGGTGAAACGCGACAACCAATAGCGCACAGCTGCGTCCCACAAACAGCCGTGGATTGAGAGACCAAATTATTAGATATTTGTTAGGTCAGGGTATCAAGGGATATGGGGCATGGGTACAGATGATCTTATAGAATAGCGGAAGAGGCTCGAGGGGCTGAATGGCCTCCTCCTGTTCCTGTTTCTAAGTTGTTCGTGTTCCCTTACCTTTCTGTTTCAGCAATTGTTGACAATTCTTCAGTTCTGCAAACATACAGTATATTTTAAAAAAGATAAATTTTTGATAACATTTATGAGTCCTCCCTCCCTCACTCCCTCATTTAAGGTTCTGTCTCAAGACCTCTTTGACCCCATTTTCAGCTATCTCCCCGCAGACTCTCTCTCTCTCACACACACACACACACACACACAGACCGCTTCCCCCTTGTCTAAGTCAAGAGTGCTTTATGACTCCTTCCTGACGTGACAGGCATATTTAAATGTATAATAATAATAATCTTTGCATTTGTCTTCAAGACAATCTCAAAGCACTTGACAGCATATACTGTAAAAGATTGAGTGACCAAATTATTATTTTTTTTTGAAGGAATTATTACACCCGGGAAAGCGATCCGCAATCGTAAACAAGAGTAAACAGTGAGTGTGGAGTAAGGAAACTTGCCCAATGTCTCACGCTGACCCGCCCGGGAATTGAACCCAGGTCCTCTCGCTTGCGAGGTGAGTGCTCTAATCGCTGAGCTACAGGACTCCAACATCAGGGAGGGGGGGGATAAGGATTCCTGAGGCAGCATATCCCCACTCCCTCCTGTTCTCTCGACTTTCTGGAGCTAAATCACCGCCATCTTTGCCCGGTTTCATTGCCTCCCCATTCCTCAGGGAATTAAGTTCAAAACCCTCATCCTCACCATCAAAGCCCTCCACAGTCTTGCTCCACCCACCGCACCTCTCCGACCTCCTAACCCCTGGAACTCTATTCTGCAATCCCTCTGGCTCACTCCCAGCCCCCCATTCCATCTCTTGCCACCTTCAAGTCCTGTCTGAAGACCCTCCTCTTCGACCGTGCCTTCAGCCACCCCCACCTCGCCTTCTCCCAGCTCGAGTCCAAAAAACCCTGATCATACAGCACCCTGGGACGTCTTTCCAATGTGAAGGGCACTGTACAATGTAATTTGCTGCTGCCATGTTTTGAAAATGTTCATCTGGATTTTATCTGCTGTTTTTGAGATGTTTTAGTGTATATATTAAAATTATATATTTACAAAATGTTCAAATATGTAATGTGACACTAGAGAATCATTTTCTATCTCTCGTTCGTTTCATACCTTCAATTTTTGTTTTCATTTCATTATCTGTCAAACCATATTGGCAAAGGTTTACAAATAATAATGATAACAATCCTTGCATTTGATAAAACGCCTCATCACGTCTTTGAGATGTCTCAAAGCGCTTCACAGAATATACTGCTAAGTGGATTGACTGTGTGTTTTGTGGGCGAAACGCGGCAGCCAATTGCGCACAGTAGCGTCCCACAAACAGTCATGGTTTGAGTGACCAATTTAGCGTCATTATTTTTTAAGATTTTATTATCCCTGGAAAAGCGATCTGCCAATCGACTAACAACCGGGTTCCTACTTACTACTAGATAAACAGAGGCGTGTGTGTGTGTGTGTGTGGAGTAAGGAAACTTGCCCAATGTTTTGCCCTGACCCACCCTGGTCTCTCGCTTGCGAGGCGAGTGCACTAACCACTGAGCTACAGGACTTAATAAATACTGTATCCCGAGATATTATTATATCCTAACAGAAATCTATCCAATTTGTTCTTGAATGAATGAACGCTTTCAGTATGTTTTTTTTGTTTGGAGAGTGTTGATAAAAGCTTATTCTTTTACCCATCTGACATAATTTTTCTTCTGTTAGTTTTTTTTAGTTGGTGAATTTTTCTTCTGTTAGTTTTTTTTAGAAATTGAGAGAGAGAGAGAGAGAGAGAGCGAGAGCGAGAGAAAGAGTGAGAAATGGAATCAACAGCGTTTATCAAAGCACAGCCATTGACGGAGCTGGGTTGGTGAACGAGACAGAGAGGGGGGTGGAATGGGGCGGGAGAAACAGGGAGGGAGAGAGGGAGGGAGGGAGGGAAGAAGGGAAAAGAGAGAGAGAGGGAGGGAAGGAGAATCAATTTCTGACCCAGTTCTTCCAGTTTTTCATTCATTTTTTGTAGTTCTGTCAAAGGAAAAAAAAGATTATCTTAATTATTAGTTGAATAAAACATCATCAACATCAGTGGAGTGGCGTCCTGTACCTCAGTGATTAGGGCACTTGCCTCACAAGCAAGAGGACCCGGGGTCTATTCCCGGGTGGTCAGGGTGAATCGTTGGGCAAGTTTCCTTACTCCACACACACGCATACGCCTCTGTTTACTTAGTAGTAAGTAGAAACCCGGTTGTTAAGTCAATTGGGGGATCGCTTTTCCGGGGGTAATAAACCCTTCAAAAAAATAAAAATAAATTGGTCACTCAATCCACGACTGTTTGCGGGACGTCACTGAACGCAATTGGTTGCTGAGGTTCCCCACAAAATATACAGTCAATTCACTTCACAGTATATTCTGTGAAGGGTTTTGAGACATTTCGAAGCATGAAAAGGCGCTACATCAAATGCAAGGATTATTATTATTAACATCAACAATATTAAAGCTTTTTTTTGTGATTACCTGGATTGGATTTTGGATTCAATAGCTCTAGGGACATAATAATAAAAAAATAACAGCAATAATATAATTTTAAAATATAAAATATGCTCTGAGAGGGAGAGAAACGTCCTTTTTTTTTTGCCGACAGCGTTCGTGGGAGATCTTTAACATTTGCCCTGAACAGGGCACAGACGGGGAGGGGGGGTTGGAGGAGAGTGAGTGAGGTTTTAACGTCTCATCCGACAATGCTCTGCTCCCTCCATTCCCCCCAGCGCTACCCTGGAGCATCATCTTAAACTATATAAGTTCCGTGTCCCCGATGTGTGTGCGCGTGGGGGACTCGAACTCACAATCTTCTCGGAGGCAAGAGAATGAGCAACTGAGCCACAGGCTGACTGACGCACAAAAGTCAAATATAGCATTATATTTTTGAGTCCTGTAGCTCACTGGTTAGAGCACTTGCCTCGCAAGCGAGAGAACCTGGGTTCTATTCGTGGGCAGGGCCAAACATTGGGCAAGTAATAATACTAATAATTTAATAATAACAATAAGTTTTCTTAGTCCACACGCCTCTGTTTATTTCGCAGTAGATAGGAACACCGTTGTTAGTCGATTGGTGGATCGCTTTTCCAGGGGTAATAGTCTCTTAAAAAAATAATAATAATGCTGAATTGGTCGCTTAAAGCATGACTGTTTGTGGGACACTGCTGTGCGCAATTGACTGCTGAGTTCCGTCCACAAAATATAGTGTCAATTCACTTTATAGTTTATTCTGTGAAGCGCTTTGAGAAGTCTCGAAGACGTAATAAGGCGCCATATCAAATGCAAGGATTATTATTGTTGTATGTTACCTTACCTTTCTCCATTTGAACCAAAGCTTCTCCTTTTGAAAAAAAAATTTCAAACCTCATATGTTTACACCAATTTGTGTGCGCATGAAAACACCCACAAATAGCTTTAAACGTCAAAAGAAAAACTTTGTTTTACCTGCAATGTTGAGAGCACTTTGGCAATCAAGTAACTCTAAAAATATACATATAGATATATATATAAGAAAACTGAATTTATATAACTGTATAATATTGCTACATATGATTTATAAAATAATAAAAAATAATCATTTGATTTAGCACCTTATCATGTTGAGACTTCTCAAAAGCGCTACACCGAATACACTATAAAGCGAATTGACTGCATATTCTGTGGGCGAAACATGGCAGCCAATTGCGCACAGCAGTGTCCCACAAACAGTCGTGGATTGAGTGACCAATTTTTTTTAAGGGATTATTACTCCCGGAAAAGCGATCTGCCAATCGACTAACACCTGGGTTCCTACCGATTGCTCGGTAAACAGAGGTGTGTGTGTGTTTGTGGAGTAAAGTAACTTGCCCGATGTCTCGCTCTGACCGGGAATGAAATCCAGGGCCACTCGCTTGCGAGGCGAGTGCTCCAACCACTAAATTACAGGACTCCTGAATATATCCACTGAACTAAATTTATTTATTTGGCGTCTCTGACAATGCAGTGCTCTCCCTCTCTGCCCCCAGAGCTGCGCTGGAGTGTCAGCTTAGACTATATGAGTTCCGAGTCCCCGACGTATGTGCGTGCATGTGTTTGGGGGGAGGGGAGGCTCGAACCTACAACCTTGTGACTCAGAGACGAGAGAGAGAGAGCGACTGAGACACAGGCTGAGAGAGACAGACACACACACACAGAGATATAAACAAACAATAGAATACATGGTTTGTTAACCAGAGAAGGCTTTAAACAGAAAATTCACCCGAGTCTCTCTCCGCTATTTTGTTTTCTGCAATACAAAATAAATGTAGAATTAATATCAATTCACAAACCAATTCTTTCAAGACTACCTCACTTCATGCCCTGGCACCTCCCCACTTCTCCGACCTGCTTACCCATCACCCAGTGCCTCCGCTCGGCTGGCTCCGGCCTCCTGTTTGTCCCTGGTTCACTCCGTTCCACCATTGGTGGCCGTGCCTTTAACCACTTGACCCCCGAAACTCTGGAACTCTCTCCCTCGATCCCTCCACCTTGCCCCCTCCCTCCCTCCAAATTATAATAATCCTTGCATTTAATATAACGCCCGATTACATCTTTGTGACGTCTCAAAGCGCTTCGCAGAATATACTGTAAAGTGAATTGACTGTATATTTTGTGTGCAAAAAGCGGCAGCCAATTACGCACAGCAGCGTCCCACAAACAGTCGTGGATTGAGTAACAACTATTTTTTTAAGGGATTATTACCCCCGAAAAAGCGTTCCCCCATTGACTAACAACCGGGTTCCTACTTACTGCTAGGTAAACTGAGTTTGTGTGTGGAGTAAGGAAACTTGCCCAACTTTTCACCCTGACCCGCCTGGGAATTGAACCCACGTTCTCTAAAATGATGAAATGTGAACGGAAAATAGTCAGTGTCAACCATTTTTTATGAATGAAAATCAAGATGCTTTTATTACCTCTTTGTTTCAGTGCTTCCTGGCATTTGTTTAACTCTGCAAGACAAATCAGATTTTATCTGGGGAATTGTCAGCCAGGACACCAGGAGAGAGAGAGAGAGAGAGAGAAAGACAGAGAAAAATAGAGAGAGAGAGAAACTCCCTTTACTTTTCCCGACAGCGCCACAGGGATCATTACACTCCGGCCACTTGATGTTTAACATTTCGAGCGAAATCAGCGTCAAGAAAATAAAAAATGTTCACCTATCACTTTATCAGAAAGTGCTTTTTCTGTTAAAAAATAATCAAATACAATAATTAATAATAATAATCCTTACATTTGACACGGCGCCTTATCACCAGAGAGAGAGGGAGGTCGTCACAAAGTGCTTTGCGGGATTTTTCACTTTGAAGTGTAGTGACTGTGCGTTTTGCGTACAGTGACATCCCCACAAACAGCTGTGAAGTGAGCGAGCGACTCCACCCCCCCATTACTATTAATAGTTTATTAATAATTAGTTTAATAAAGTCTTCGCAAACTACCTGCTGCTTTTAGAATTTCTTGACGGTTTGCTAATTCTGGGGGAGAAAAAAATCTAATGAAATAATAATAATAATTCTTGCATTTGATATAGCGCCTTATCACGTCTTCGAAGCGCCTCAAAGCGCTTCACAGGATATACTGTAAAGTGGAGTGACTGTAGATTTGTGGGCGAAACATGGCAGCCAATTGCACACAGTAAAGAGTCCCACAAACAATGGTAGATTGAGTGACCAATTTCTTTTTCTTTTAAAGGATTATTACCCCCAGAAAAGCGATCCACCAATCGACTAACAACTGGGTTTCTATTTACTGCAAGGTAAACAGAGGTGTGTGTGTGTACGTGTGTGTGTGTAGTAAGGAAACTTGCCCAACGTTTCACCCTGCCTGGGAATCGAACCTGGGTCCTCTCGCTTGCAAAGGGATTGCTCCAACCATTAAGCTACAAGATTCCTGATTATATCCACTGAACAAAATTTGGCGTCTCTGACAATGCAGTGCTCCCCCTCTCTGCCCCCAGCACTGCAGCGTCAGCTTAGACGATATGAGTTCCGAATTTCCGACGTGTGTGTGTGTATGTGTGTATGTATGTGAGACAGGCTGAGAGAGACACACCCACGGAGACACACACCCACACACACACACTTGAACCATACTGAACTTGAACAAACGGTATGGTATTGGTAACCAGAGAAAGCTTTAAACAGAAAATTCACCCGAGTCTCCCTCCGTTATTTTGTTTTCTGCAATACAAAAATATAGAATTAATATCGAATCACAAACTAATTCTTGCAAGGCTATCTGACTTCATGCCCTGGCACCTCCCCACTTCTCCGACCTGCTTACCCATCACCCAGTGCCTCCGCTCGGCTGGCTCCGGCCTCCTGTTTGTCCCTGGTTCACTCTGTTCCACCATCGATGGCCGTGCCTTTAACCACTACACCCCCGAAACTCTGGAACTCTCTCCTTCGATCCCTCCGCCTTGCCCGCCCCCTCCCTCCCTCCCTTCAAATAATAATAATCCTTGCCTTTAATATAACGCATGATCACGTCTTTGAGACGTCTCAAAGCACTTTGCAAAATATACTGTAAAGTGAATTCACTGTATATTTTGTGGGCGAAACGCGGCAGGCAATTGTGCACAGCAGCGTCCCACAAACATTCGTGGATTCATTGACAACATTATCATTTTTTTAAGGGATTATTACCCCCGGAAAAGCGATCCCCCAATCGACTTACAACCGGATTCCTACTTACTCACAACAAAGTTGTGGAGTCCTGTAGCTCAGTGGTTAGAGCACTCGCTTTGCAAGTGAGGGACCTGAGTTCAATTCCAGGCACAGGGCGAAACCTTGGGCAAGTTTCCTTACTCCACACGCCTAATAATAATCCCTCCAAAACCAAAAACAATAATAAATTGGTCATTTTCAATCTACGACTGTTTGTGGGACACTGCTGTGCGTAATTGGCTGTCGTGTTCGCCCACAAATATAGTCAATTCACTTTACAGTATATTCTATGAAGTGCTTTGGGACGTCTAGAAGATGTGAAAAGCGCTATATCAAATTCAAGGATTATTATTATTATTATTATTATTATTACTGCTAGGTAAACAGAGTTTGTGTGTGGAGTAAGGAAACTTGCCCAACGTTTCACCCTGACCCGCCTGGGAATTGAACCCAGGTTCTCTAAAATGATGAAATGTGAACGGAAAATAGTCAGTGTCAACCTTTTCTTCATGAATGAAAATCAAGATGCTTTTATTACCTCTTTGGTTCAGTGCTTCCTGGCATTTGGTTAACTCTGCGAAACAAATCAAGTCGTTTATGGGGGGATTTTATCTGGGGGATTGTCGGCCAGAACACCGGGGGAGAGAGAGAAAGAGAGAAACTCTCTTTTCTTTACCCAACAGCACCGCAGAGATGTTTAATGTCCAGCCACTTGACGTTTAACATTTAGAGAAAATTCAAAGCGTCAAGAAAATAAAAAATGTTTACCTTTCACTTTATCAGAAAGTGCTTCATCTGTTCAAAAAGATTTAAATATAATAATTATTAATAATAATCATCCTCTCGTTAGCCTTATCACGTCGGCAGGGATTGAGGATGTCCCCGCAAACAGCCGTGAAGTGAGTGAGTGACTCCACTCCCCATTATTATTAATAGTTTTATTAATAATTAGCATTCTTGTAAAGTCTTCACAAACTACCTGCTGCTTTTAGAATTTCTTGACTGTTTGCAAATTCTAGGGGAGAAAGATACAGAAAGATATTGCATTTGATATAGCTCCTTATCACGTCTTCGAAGCGCCTCAAAGTGCTTCACAGGATATAATGTAAAGTGGAGTGACTGTATATTTGTTGGCAAAACCCGCAGCCAATTGTACACAGCAGAGTCCCACAAACAGTGACCAATTTATTTTTCTTTTAAGGGATTATTTCCCCCAGAAAAGCAATCTGCCAATCGACTAACAACCGGGTTCCTACTTATTGCTAAGTAAACTGAGGTGTGTATGTGTGGAGTAAGGAAACTTGCCCAAGGTTTCGCCCTGACCAGCCCGGGAATCAAACCCAGGTCCTCTCGCTTGCGAGGCGAGTTCTTTAACCACTGAGCTCCGTTGATGATATTGTTGATGTTGTGAACACATACCTGCATCTTTCATTGCTACAATTTCATCTATAAAGTAAGGATTGAAACCATTTTGTCAAGATGCTGCAAATTAGCAAATAATAACAATAATCCTAATAATAATGATCCCGCATTTGATATAGCTCCTTATCGCTTTGCCCACAAAAAAATAGAGTGAATTTACTTTAAAGTATATCCCGTGATATACTTTAATATCACGGGATATACTTTAAAGTGAAGCATTTGAGAAGTCTCGAAGACGTGATAAAGCGCTGTATCAAATGTGAGTATTATTATTACTATGATGTTGGAAGGCCGTCTCAAAGACAAGACTTCGGACACACAATGAAACCCGTCACGAGATGACATTTTTTTTAACTGATAAATAATTGTGATATTAAACTATAAAAAGTCTTTTTTTGTACCTGATTTGTTCAGAGCATTCTTGTAGTCATTCAGTTCTGGTGTTTTTTATAACCCCCGAAAAAATAAATTCAAACAATTAGTTTGATGTCATTTAAAGCAACCGATTTGGACACACTCAGTCGCTCGCTTGCTCATTCACTCACAGACACACACTCACGCACACACCTACGTCAGAAACTCGGAAATTATATAGTCTAAGATAATGCTCCAGTGCAGCGCTGGGGGGAGGGAGAGAGAGCGCTGGATTGTCGGAGATGCCGTCCTTCGAACGAGACGATAAACCTCATTCCCTCACTCCCCGTCTGTGCCCTGTTCAGGACGGATGTTAAAGATCTCCCGCGGTGTTGTCAGGAAAAGAGAAGTGAGTTTCTCCCTCTCTCCCAGTGTCCTGGCTGACAATCCCCCAGGTAAAATCGCTCATTCGCTCTAAAGTAAATTGGCTGTATATTTTTTTGTGGGCTGTTTGCGAAACCCACAGTCGTTACACTTCACGTTGAAAAATCCTGCAAAGCGCTATTGAAATTAAGGATTATTATTATTATTTACCAGTAATTTTCTCTTGTAATTGATTTTCTTGAAAAGCAAACAAATTTGGGTCAAACATGACACAAACACAAGATTGAGAAGATGGCTCATTGCCCCAAATCAGGGTTATTTTTTGGTTTATTGCAAACTAGTTTTCAAACGAAAATAAAATATACATTTCTTCCTACCAGTTGATTTCACATACTTTTCATATTCTGTGAATAAAAACATATAATCAATAATGATCTTTTCATTTGATTTCGCCCACAAAATATACAGTCAATTCACTTTACAGTATATTCTGTGAAGCGCTTTGAGGCATCTCGAAGACATGATAAGGCACTATATCAAATGCAAGGAGGTATTTTAATATATAACAATATCAACATCATCAATATCAACATAGAATCATAGAATATTACAGCACAGAAGGAGGCCATTCAGCCCATCGTGTCTGTCTTTGAAAGAGCTACCCAATCAGTCCCACCCGCCCCATTCTTTCTCCATATCCTTGCAAAGCACCTGTCCGATTCCCTTTTGAAAGTTATTATTGAATCTGTTTCCACCACCCTTTCAGGCAGTGAGTTACAAACTATGTGAAAAAAATGTCTCCTTGTCTGGTGTCCCCTCTGGTTCTTTTGCCAATTATCTTAAATCTATGTGCCCTGGTTACTGATCCACCCACTCGCCAGAGGAAACAGTTTCTCCCTTTTTTACTCTAAACCCCTCATATTTGTGAACGCCTCTATTAAATCTCCCCTTAACCTTCTCTGCTACAAGAAGAACATTATCAAAATCAACATAATCAACCGTTAGTCAATTGGTGGATCACGTTTCCAGGGTTAATAATCCCTTCAAAAACATAAAATAATAATAATAATTCGGTCACTCAATCAATGACTGTTTGTGGGAAACTGCAGTGCGCAATTGGCTGCCGTATTTCTCCCACAAAATATACAGTCACTACACTTTACAGTGTATCCTGTGAATCGCTTTGAGATGTCTCGGAGATGTGACAAATGCAAATGCAACGATTATTATGATTGTTATAACATCATCACCATCAACTTTATCAACATGAATGTATACCAATCGTTTTTGCTTCCAGTAATCTTTCTGTGAAATGTAATCAGAGGATCACAAGATTGAAGTTCAGATGAAGAAAGCCAATTCCTCCCTCTCTTTGCTCCTCTCCATCCGATCTAATTCCCTCCAAAACATCCACCCCAACAAATCCTCCCCATCACAGCATCGAGATGCTTTTAAAACCTTAATTCACCCCCCTTCCGAGGTAACCTTATTCCTCTTGTTAATTCCCCCCCACCCCCCACCACGCCTTTCCTGGGTAGGAAAATAGGAACAGGAGGAGGCCAAACTCCAATTACCCACCTTTGCCCCATATCCTTTGATACCTTGACCTAACAAATATCTATCCACCTCAGTCATGAAAATAATAATAATCATTTGATACAGCGCTTTATCACGTCTTAGAGACGGCTCAAAGCGTTTCACAGAAAATACTGTAAAATGAATTGACTGCATATTTTGGGGGCGAAACACAGCAGCCAATTGCGTACAGCAGCGTCCCATAAACAGTCGCGGATTGAAGTGACCAATTTATTATTATTATTTTTTGAAGGAATTATTACCCCCCAGAAAAGCGATCCATCCACCAATCGACTAACAACCGGGTTCGTACTCAGTGCTAGGTAAACAGAGACGTGTGGAATAAGGAAACTTGCCCAACATTTTGTTCTGCCAGGAATCAAACCCAGGTCTCTCGCTTGCAAGGCAAGTGCTCTAACCACTGAGCTGCAGGACGCCACAAGTTGTGAATGGATCCAAAGCCTTTTGGGGGAGAGAGTTCCAGATTCCCACTAACCTTTGGGTGACAAACTGCTTTCTGATTTCACTCCTACTTCCAATTTTAAGATGATGCCCCCTTGTTCTGGATTCCCCCCACCCACCAGAGGAAATAGTTTCTCTGTAGCTACCCTATCGAATCCCTTTATTGTTTTAAAGACACCTCAATCAGGTCACCCCTCAATCTTCTAAACCCAAGGGAATAGAGACCAAGTTTATGCAACCTTTCGTTACTCCCCCTGCACACACACACACAAACACTCTGGGTAAAGAAATACTTCCTGGTTT